ATTTCATGCTCCTCTCTACCCACCCGCGGTTTCCCTGTTGGAACGATGAATTTCGGATTTCACCGCCGTGAATCTGTCTGCAGCCTTGCTTAGAAATACTTGTAATTATGAAGCGAGAGCGGATACTGTGTGCCAAGGCTCTTAGAGAGTGAGACTGAAAGTAATCCATTGTATACTGAATGTCACTGCTATTACGCCACTATAGTTATATAATTAGGCAAATCCGCGAGGCTAAACAGTCTTTCCCAAGATGAATTAAGAGTAAGGAACTATCGACTTTTTACAACTAATACAAGTTTGCCCCGCTGCTTTCGTTTGCAGCTATTGTTCAGTTTGTAGTATCTATATGCTATTACCCTTCGCTGTATATTAGCCCGCTTGGCTAGCTAGTTGTGTGTAATGAGTGGGGAGGTTTATTTTCATCCACTTGAGATTTACAGGTAAACATCTAGGCATAAATCACCCATATAAGGGTACACTATTCTATTGCATCTCCTGAATTTACAAGACTACCCACTAAACCCACTACAGCCGTTATAGTATAAGAAAGGTGTCATCCTAAGAAGATGGTTAAAAATTGTCTCTAATGTCGTCCTCACGGTATACAACATTTCACAACCCGAAACAAGCGATGATGCATATTCGCCCGGCCCTCTCCATATACTACCCGTTTTGATGTAAACGGCAACAGTGTATTTGAGACTCGTGACCATAGACTGCTGTGCGTAATACTAGTGAACAATGACGTAGATGCCCTGGTTCGCCATCTAACAAAATGTCCTGAAATCACAAAGTCGGTACCTATATGGCCGGGAACATTTCCTACCAAGCTACTTGATGGGAATTTAGTCTGGCGGGACATCGGGCTAGAAAAAGCTAGCTTTGCGAGGAGCATCATTACCCACATCAAATACGAATGCTCCCGTACAGATGAGGTAAAAGTGATTCACTATTAATGCTAAGTATCAACTGTGAACGGAATCGGGAGGTAGAGACTAATATTAATGTCGACTATCTACTGTGGTATTCACTCTGAATCGATGTAGCGCCTTGTTATATGTGCGATCACTATTGGCATTGTTCAAAAAATTGAGATTCTAGACTGCGTTAAGGCTCACCCCTCACTGATCAGCCTATGAAGTATGGACCGCTTTAACATCGGCACCTGCTTAGCCAGAACTTGATGCAATTTCCATAATCTTGCACCCAGTGTTGTAGTAGGTTCCTGTTAAAATAGCTTGGAGAAAGTCCATAGCTCCAGGCACACCTGCTGTCCATTCATCAAAATGCCCACCCAGAGGGTTTCGAACATAGGTAGTCGCCACATTGATCTTGCAGTACTTGCTGACCAAAGAATCTGTATCAACAGTAGGGCTCACTTCGTCGTGCACCGCCTTGTAGACATACAGGGGCATCTGGGGAACACCATGGTATCCCATCTGGCTGTCACTTGTTGTAACAGACTTAATTGGCGGCGCCGTGATATCCGAAAAGCCACCAATAAAATAGTCCGCTATGTCTTGATTGGCAAACGCAGCGACAGCTTGCACACTGGAGTAGTTTCGTGCTTTCAGAAATCCGTCCCTATTGAAAGCACCCTGCTTCTTGAGTCTGGAAAGCAAATACCTCTCAGCCTCGGGAAATTGACTTGTCAGGCCCAGCATTGCCAGAGGGATCAATCCGGCAGCCGGCTTTCCTGAAACTGCCAACATAACAGATGTGACATTTGGTGTAAGGCCACCCAATGCAGCGCCACTAAATTTCAGTTCTGGTGCATACTGAAGTTGGAGTTCTGCAGCCCATTCACTTGCTAAGGCACCGCCTGAGTATCCCCACATGGCGTATTTGGCATTAGTAGTAAGGCCAAATGCTGCGGCTTTCACAGCTCGGATAGAATCAAGGGTAGCATGACCAGACATGACTCCAGCTGTAAAAAGAGCCCAATGGTCCCTCGTAGTCTGGTACGTTGACATACCAACCGAGGCCGAGGGCACGACTGATGTCAGATGGAGGATCTTGATATAACTGGTAGGATGGACTGAAGGTGAGGTCAACAGAGTCGTATGGAATCTGATAAGAGAGTAGCACATCCTTTAGATGTTTGGGGATAAATAATATAGTAACAGCCCAAGACGGAAGATAACGACTATCTATAGTGCGGTAGAGAATGTTGAAGGCGGCCGTTGCGTTGGTCATCACACTAGACAAGTTTCCAGGTGCAGCACGAATGCGCAAAATTGTACCTGGCTGTTTGTATTCATAGTTATATGGTGCTGTGTACCATGGGTCGTCTTGTGGTGGCATAGGTTCCGTATCATATTTCCCCGTTGCCATGGCCGTGATAGACAACGCATTAAGAAACACCAAAAGCGTGCTTGCAAATAACATATTGACCTTGTCTCAACGATTCAAAAAGTCTGGGATAGAGATTTATGTAGCGTAAGGGAAGACGCAGGTGAACAGAGCAAAGGTGGGCTTTTCATCCTTTTAAGACTCTCCTACCATAATTCTTTCGTAACACTATTTGACCAATCATCAACATATGCTCCTACTACTCAAGAGTAGGAAGGAAATCTCTCCGTTCTTGCTTGCACGGAGTTTTGAAGATGAGCCGTATCCGTTCCATATATGATCCCCATAATGCATGAAGCGGAGATGAGTCAAGGGTTATTATTTAGCCATGCTACCTTGCCTAGACCAAATGGCGACCGGAGTTATCCCCGGATTCACAACTTTATCCGAGCACAAGAGATCCTTAGATCACATATTAGTCTCTTTAATATGCACAATGGCCCAGAAGGGATTTCTAAGGCTCTTATAGCAGCAACTATACTGAAGAAAGACCAGAGCATGGTAATGAGCCTAAATTGTGAGCACAATGATTGCATTAACCTACTAGGCGGCATTGGTTGAACGAAGAGCACAGTCGTCACGCGTAGCCGGTTCTTGGTAGGGTTGACTTATAGGAGGATACGATTATACATGGAAGTGCTGCTTATTGATAAGCTTTCGATTTGCTCCCAGTGCAAACTATTAAACGGTTCAGTAGTTTTTGTATCTAAGACCAATTGTTTTTTCGCATAATTAGTCAAATCGTAGTTAATTAGGGACAGAATAGTAGGTCGGTGCTCTATTCTATTGTAAGAGTATGCGTTGCCTCTTATTTTAAAGCGAGCCAGATTAATCTAGTGGTCAAGTCCTCTTGTATATAGGTTTCCTTAATTTGACTTACTATCTGCGAGCAAGTTGGAGTGTACTTAGAGGCAGCCACTGGATGTGCTTTCTCTGAACTTATAGTTGACATTCACTTATCTGTTTAGTATATATAAGGATTACTCCGTGGAAATTCCATTATAGATCTTCGGCAGAGGCAACGTCGGTTGCTTCGGTTCAATGTCGCAGAACAACATGCAAAACAGCCCGAACTCTGACCTACTCCGAGTTTTCCCCGTCGGTACTGATCCCGAAAGCAGAGTTCGGAAACGCGACCCGTGGAAGTCTTTTTAGAACGGAATGGGTTCCGGGGCGATCTGCTCTCACACAACTATTGCATACTCTATGTTGCGAAAGGCCTTGGCGTTGAAATGCAAATTTACTGGGTAGAACCTTTTATTAGATGAAGAATTGCAATAGGTGACTGAATTCAGCATCTGCCAGCAGTGATTATAAACCTACCCTATTCTGCCATTTTCAGAAGAAACACAACCGTGTGACGAACCGGGTGCCTATAGGTTAATATAGGTTAGCTATTCCCAAGAGATAAACCTTAGAATGGTTCTACGGTTTATGTTGGCGGAGCGATTAGGTTGGTAAATGGGCAATTTTATTACTAGCTAGTAATACGAATAAGAGTAGATGTCTGAGTTTTAATCTAATTGTATTGTAAACGCTGTAATAACAACTGGCTATTTAAGTATTTTAATAAGTGATATAAAGTGAACTTATATATCTAGTTGGCTGGGCTGGATTATTTACAGAGGTTGATGATTTTGTTGTAGATTATCTTATAGTTTTAATAATCCATTTATAGATTATTAGATTATTACAATAATTTAATAATCTGCTTTTAATTAGTTGGTTAGTTTATTATTTATTTAGAACTGACTACCCTGTAGGCCTATTATTACAACTATAAAAGCTAGGTTGTAATATAATATCCCCCTTTTGTTAGTCTTGCCCTTAAGACTTTGTTTATTTA